TGTCCCTGTTCATCAGTCTATGTTGTTCTCTATATTCCACAAATGAGTGAGATCATGTGGTATTTATCTTTCTCCGACTGGCTTATTTCACTTAGCATAATGCTCTCCAGTTCCATCCAAGCTGTTGCAAAAGGCAAGAGTTCCTTCTTTTTTACCGCAGCATAGTATTCCATTGTGTAGATGTACCACAGTTTTCTAATCCACTCATCTGCTGATGGGCACTTAGGCTGTTTCCAGATCTTAGCTATGGTGAATTGTGCTGCTATGAACATAGGGGTGCATATATCCTTTCTGATTGGTGTTTCTGGCTTCTTGGGATATATTCCTAGAAGTGGGATCACTGGGTCCAATGGGAGTTCCATTTTTAGTTTTTTGAGGAAGCTCCATACTGTTCTCCACAGTGGCTGCACCAGTCTGCATTCCCACCAGCAGTGCAGAAGGGTTCCTTTTTCTTCACATCCTCTCCAGCACTTGTTGTTTGTTGATTTGTTGATGATAGCCATTCTGACAGGTGTGAGGGGATACCGCATTGTCGTTTTGATTTGCATCTCTCGTATAATTAGTGACTTTGAGCATGTTTTCATATGTCTTTCGGCCTTCTGTATGTCCTCTTTTGAAAAGTGTCTATTTAGGTCCGTTGCCCATTTTTTGATTGGATTGTTTATCTTCCTATTATTAAGTTTCATGAGTTCCTTGTAAATGTTGGAGATTAAACCCTTATCAGTGATATCATTGGCAAATATGTTCTCCCATGCAGTGGGTCTTCTTGTTATGTTGATGGTTTCCTTTGCTGTGCAAAAGCTTTTTATTTTAATTTAGTCCCATTTGTTTATTTTCTCTTTAGTTTCCATTGCCCTAGGAGCATTATCAGAGAAGAAATCCCTTCGACATGTTTGCGATTTCGCTGCCTATGGATTCCTCTAGTATTTTTATGGTTTCCCATCTTACGTTTAAGTCTTTTATCCATTTTGAGTTTATTTTTGCGTATGGTGTGAGTTGGTGGTCTAGTTTCATCTTTTTGCATGTATCTGTCCAATTTTCCCAACACCATTTATTGAAGAGACTGTCTTGACTCCATTGTATGCTCTTGCCTCCTTTGTCGAATATTAATTGGGCATAGTGCTTTGGGTCAATTTCTGGGTTCTCTATTCTATTCCATTGGTCTATATGTCTGTTCTTGTGCCAATACCAAGCTGTTTTAAGAACAGTGGCTTTGTAATACAGTTTGATATCCGGTATTGAGATCCCACCTACTTTGCTCTTCTTTCTCAGGATTGCTGCAGCTATTCGAGGTCTTTTTTTTATTCCAGATGAATTTTTGGAACGTTCATTCTAGATCTGTGAAATATGCTGTTGGTAATTTAATGGGGATTGCATTGAATCTATAGATTGCTTTGGGTAGTATGGATATTTTGATGATGTTGATTCTACCAATCCATGAACACGGTATGTTCTTCCATCTGTTTATGTCTTCCTCTATCTCTTTTTTCAGTGTCCTGTAGTTTTTCGCATATAAGTCTTTTACCTCCTTAGTTAAGTATATTCCTAGGTATCTTAATTTTTTTGGTGTGATGGTAAATGGGATTGCTTTTTTAGTCTCCCTTTTTGTAAGTTCACTATTGGTGTAAAGAAATGCCTTAGATTTCTTGGCATTAATTTTGTATCCTGCTACATTGCCGAATTCATTTATTAACTCTAATAATTTTTTGATGGAGTCTTTAGGGTTTTCTATGTACAGTATCATGTCATCTGCAAATAAGAACAGTTTTACTTCTTCTTTTCCAATTTGGATGCCTTTTATTTCTTCTTCTTGTCTGATCACAATGGCTAATACTTCCAGTACTATGTTGAACAGGAGTGGTGAGAGGGGGCATCCCTGTCTTGTTCCTGTTCTCAGGGGAAATGGTTTTAGTTTTTGTCCATTGATTATGATGTTGGCTGTGGGTTTGTCATATATGGCTTTTATTATGTTGAGGTATGATCCTTCTATTCCTACCTTGCCGAGAGTTTTTATCAAGAAAGGGTGTTGAATTTTGTCGAAAGCTTTTTCTGCATCAATTGATATGACTATGTGGTTTTTATCTCTCAATTTGTTTATGTGATGAATCACGTTTATTGATTTGCAGATATTGTACCATCCTTGCATCCCTGGGATGAATCCTACTTGGTCATGGTGTATGATCTTTTTGATGTATTGCTGGATCCGATTTGCTAGAAGAAGCCATCTCCATTGGGATACGCCATCAACATGATAGGATGAACTTGATCAGCAACGATACTTAGGTATGTTGTGCTATTCAGACGTTGTTCCACACGAATTAAAGGGCCCAAATCATGCCAGGAAAACATGCCTCAAACCATAACACTGCCCTCACCAGCTTGAAGGGCTGTACTCAGGCATGTGGGGTGCATGCTTTCATGCTGTTTCCACCAAATTCTCACTCTGCCGTCTGCATGATGCAACTGGAAAGGTGATTCATCGGACCACATGACTTTTTTTCCAATGCTCGACTGTCCAATCCTTGTGTTCCTGTGCGAATTGGAGACGTTATATCTTGGTAACTGCAGACAGCAAAGGTGTTCGAACAGGCCTTCGGCTTCCATATCCCATACGATGCAGTGTATGGCTAATTTGCCTACAAACATCAGGTGGTCGTAATAATCTGGCCACTCAGTGTATACACCCTAGAGAAATGAAAACATGTTCACACAAAAACTTGAACAAAAATGTTCATAGCGACGTTATTTATGAGGGCCAAAAAGTGGGAACAACCCAAATGGCCAACAGTTGACAGATAAGTAAACATGGTAGGTATTTCCAATAAAAAAAGACATGGATAAAACTTGAAAACATTAAACAAAAAGATGCAGAAGATCACATGTTGTATGATTCCCATTGACCTGAATGTCCAGAATAGGCCAATCTATACATAGATTGTAGATTTGTGTTGCCTAGAACTGAGGGTGGAGAATGAATGCTAATGGGTATGGAGTTTCTTTCCGAAGGGACAGAAACGTTCTACAGTTAGATTGAGGGGATGGTTGCGCAGTCCTGTGAACATACGAAACACTTGGATTGGGTGAATTGTAAGGTATGTGAATTACATCCCAATAAAGCTGGCTTTGTTTTTTTTGAAAGGGCAGAGTGTGCTTCTTCCTACTGGATGAAATGCAGATGTGATCTTGGGACCTTGAGTTACATTCCGAGACTGGCAGATTAAGGAGTCTATCCTATGATTCTAAAGTATACACTACTTAGTCTAAAGCAAGTTATTTGGCCCTAACCGGTTTGGCTCAGTGGATAGAGCGTTGGCCTGAGGACTGAAGGGTCCCAGGTTCGATTCCGGTCAAGGGCATGTACCTTGGTTGCGGGCACATCCCCAGTAGGGGCTATGCAGGAGGCAGCTGATCGATGTTTCTCTCTCATCGATGTTTCTAACTCTCTATCCCTTTCCCTTCCTCTCTATAAAAAAATCAATAAAATATATTTTTAAAAAATCAATAAAATGTATTAAAAAAAAATAAAGCAAGTCATTCATTACATTTTCTACCCCTCAACTTTGAAGTGGATAAAAAACAAACTTCCTTCTCCTTTTTCTTTTTTGCACATTAATATAAAAGGCATTTGGCCCGGCTGGCATGGCTCAGTGGTTGTTAACCTATGAACCAGGAGTCATAATTTGATTGCCGGTCAGGGCACATGCCTGAATTGTGGGCTCGATCCCCAGTGTGGGGTGTGCAGGAGGTAGCGGATCAGTGATTCTCTCTCACCGTTGATGTTTCTATCTCTCTCTCCCTCACCCTTCCGTTCTGAAATCAATAAAAATGTATTAAAAAAAATATATATATATATGGCATTTGTTCCTAACAGCTATTCTTCTACTTAATGGTATATTCCTAATGCAGTTTTCAGTTAAAGGCAAATATGTTAGATTTCAATAAATTGCTATGTTAGATAATAATACGTTAGATAACAAATATGTTAGATAACAATAACCAAAGAGCCTGCCTTTTAATTAAAACAAAATTAAAAATTGATACACTTAAAAATTTTCAAAAGGATGCACACCAAAATGCTATCCATGGTTATCTTTGAATGGTGGAGTAACAGGTGAGGAAGAAAGAGGCCATATGCTGACCTGACAAGCTCAGGGAAGACCTGCATGGCGGTCTTGCAAAGTCAGAGACCTAAAGTAACCACAAAGGATGGTCTGAAATTAAACTTTAACTAAAAGCAGTTATGGTGGGCAGTTACATCCTAGGCCGGTATCTTCACTGACAAGGTCAACCCTTACCTTAACTGAGCCTGTCTTTTTGCATTTATAATAACAGACCCTTGAAATGTCTGGATAACTTGTAACTTCCCCTTTTCTGGACCCCTTGGGGCACAACCTAATGTGCCAGGACAGATACCACAAATTCCTTCATTATTATCATGTTAATTGTTCCTGCAGCCACCTAAGTATGTGTCCATCATTTTACTTTATAATGGATTTCATGTAACCCACCTACGTCCCTTCCTTTGATTGTAATGTATAAATACAGATGTAACCCACCATTCTCTGGAGCATTGATTGTAATGTATAAATACAGATGTAACCCACCATTCTCTGGAGCATTATCTCAACTCGTTGAGGTTCTGCTTCCCGGCATATGTCGACAGTTTGTCTCAAATAAACTCACAAAAATTCTTTACAGGTTTGCATCTTATAATTTTCTATAATTTATATGAATTATCTGTGCAAAAATACATTTAAAGCAAACAACAAAAGTCAAATATTTGTCTACTGAGTAAACCACTGCTATTTGAAGATGTACTATGCTGAACTATTTTTTAATTAAATGGTTTGTAGTCAGAGAAAGAACAAAGAAGTAAATCCTACCAAGGAATCTTCATGCTAGTTCAACTCAGGTCACAAGGATGGTTTAAAAACAAATACAAACACTGAGTTAGTATAGAAAATATCACACTTTAACATTTCTGAGTATTAAGTGAAAGTAACATTGGTTAAAGTACCTGGCAAACAGAAGGCAACTAATAAATATTTGTAGATTCTCAAAGTGAATGAATTTGCCAAATAAAAATGACAAATGCATCTATATGTAACCACTTTATAACAAACAAGTATGAATTATTTCACAGATCCTTTTAACAAATAGTATCCACCCTTAAGACAACAGTTTGTTAGCCTTTAGCAAAAGATTGCTTTCAAAGTACTTTAAGGCACTAAAATAGATGCATACATACCGTATTTTCAACACAATGAAACAGAATAAAAAGTATTCTGAAGGAGAGAAGTATATAAAATAAGATCACCGTTATAACCTGGAAAATGCATAGTAATTTAACCAATAAATTAGAATCTGCAAAAGTAGAAATGTACTTCTATATACTAACCCTAACAATGATTTTCAAGGAGCTGACAATAGTTTTGAAATGACTTTAGGTGAAATTATATTCCACACCTAATATGCTTAATCGCCAGGCTGCCTTCCCTTAATAAATTCAGCTTATGTTTTCTAAAATCAACATGTTGTGAATATTCTACACATTTAATGAACAACTTTAGAACGTGAAACTTTCAGGTAAAAAGCTTTATCAGATGATTCTCCTTTTAGAAAACCTCTGAGAATATTATCCACATCAGTGAAATTTTCTACAGTTACAAAAACGAAGGTTACTGCTGGTGATGGGTCTTGCCCTATAGAAACTTCCCACTGGAGTGTATTCTACATGGACACACAAGAAAACCTCCTGTGTGTCTCCTGGTTAAATCATTATAAATGGGAACATCCACGAAGGAGGCTTTTCTATAGGTACAAGACAAATATTTCCAAGAGGCCCCTTTATAGAAATATATGGAGAATCACATAATGACTATAATTATGCAAGTAAAAATTATAAAATGCTTTATGATAGGCCTATATGAAACATTTTCTTACATATTTTTGAAAATATGTTAATAACCACCTTATGTTATTTTATATCTGAAAGAGAAGTTCATTGATTTTCCTGTCCCCTCATTATTGTAAAGAATGCCATTGTTTCACTAGAGGGCTCTGCCGCAGCTGTAAACATGACTGACAGTATTTATTTTCTATTATATACCTGTTCATTTCTGAGAGCAAATAACAAAAAGAGAAGGTTTTCCTTTGTCCTCCCTCCCTTCCTAGTAAAAAGACAGGTCTCTAAAAGAAAGCATTCTTCAAATGTTCCTCCAACAGAAGATATAGCTTATGAAACAGGCCATCTAGTTATACGGGTACTTCCCTTTCATTGTTATTCCTGAGCCTTTGCTAAAAACCTCATTTACATGTTCCAGCCTTATCTCAGCTGTGCTCATAGAAGATGAAGTATAGGTTTATGGCATGGTTAGTTCAGAGTTAAAGGGGAACAGTCTCAGAACAAACTGGGGGCGACAAAGATAAAACTAAGAGGACCCCCCATTTCAGTGGAGGGTCTTCCACTGTCCATGGCGCACACGAGGCTTTATTTTCATAAGGGGGAGCTACGGTGCAGGATTTCCTGCCATTACATACCTAAGAATCAAATGCGATAAAAAATGCAGAGATCTGGGACTCACCCCAGATACGATGAATCAGAATGTGCATGGTGAGTGGCAGCAATAGGCCTTTTGAAAAGCTTCCCAAGTGATTCTTACACTAGGGCTTGAGAATCACGGCAAATATTGCTTTATCAGAATGGCTTTCAGGGGGTCCACAAGGTCAAAACTACTTTCCTGATCATACTGAGACGTTATTTGTTTTGTTCACTTCCTCATGAACACGTAGTAGCATTTACTGGAGGCCACACGATGTGCGATAGCACAACAGATTGAACGTGGAAGCAGGCAGGAGATGCCATCTGTCCCTTTAAGGCGGGCAGGAAAGACATCTGCAAAAAATGGGATACACTGCCACTTTTCTCACGAAATCTTATTTTTAATGTTTTGGAAAATAGACATTTTTCGTAAAAGTGTTTATATTTACATGTGTATTATTTTCAAATGAATAAATATGTGTAACTTTTACATTTTTAACAGATTTATAACCCACATAAAAAAAGGTCTGGAGACCAAACAGTTTAAGACCTGCTCCTCCCAGCAGACGTCCAATGCCCTGTGAACATTATTGCTGATGGGCATGGCTGCTTAGTTCCTTGGCACACTCAGTGTATATCTCACTTTAAATATGATTCAACAGATCATTTGCAAAAAGGCTTCCTAAACTTATTTTTGGACAAGGGGATGCAATCGGACAGTGACTATCGAAGTCTAGCTGGTTGTAAAGTCTAAGAAACAAAGCAAGTCTTCCTTGGTGACCTCAGAATGTAATAAATAACCCTTGAATGTATACACAGGTTGACTCTAATGTATGGAATAGAAAACCATACATGACATAAGGCATTTAAAAAATGTTAATTAGCAGTGTGACAAACACAACATTAGATTCTAAGTAAGCAGTCTCAAATGAATGACATACTGCGAATGTTAGCTAAGAACAAGTCCCTAATGTTTGAAATAAAATAAAATAGGGGGTGAACTGAGGTTCCTGGAGAGAACATAGTTTTTTAAAAAATTATACTTTCGCCTGGCCGGCCTGGCTTAGTGGTTGAGCATTGACCTGTGAACCAGGAGGTCACAGTTCGATTCCTGGTCAGGGCACATGCCCAGGTTGTGGTCTTGATCCTCAGAAGGGAGCCTGCAGGAGGCAGCCAATCAATGATTCTTTCTCATCATTGATGTTTCTAACTCTCTGAAATCAATAAATATATATTTAAAAAAATTATACTTCTCAAAAATGTAGAAATGTGAGTAGACAGATTAATACTGACATTATACTAAGCTACAGAATTTTATTCTTACCTGGAAATACTAGATACTATTGCCAACTTAATGTTTGAGTGTACCTTGCCTTAGAGAATGCAGACTGAGAACACTTCAAGGTTTAGGCATGGCTGTGGTGGAAGCAGTTCCTTCTAGCATTCTGATTGTATCTGAGGTATAAAATAAGGACACTGATGCTTTTAACCTGCCATGTATAACTTTTAATGTATTGCTATTTAAAAATTCTGAGCCAAGCTAACATTTGAGTAAATCACTGCTGTTTGGGATGATGTTTAAATGAGTGATGCTGTGAACATGTTTGCTAATTTATACCACACTAAGATACTAAATGATATAGTCCTTTAATCTATCTTATGTTGAATCATTGGTATTTGAAAAGAAGTAGATTTTTTTGAGTAGCCTTTGGGAGACAGTGCACTGAATATAGTTTCGTCGTAGCTTCCTCTCCTAACTTGTACTTACTTGTCTTCCCATCTGGAGGGAGCTAAATAGGTCTCAAACCAAAAGTTCAGCGAACCTGACGTCCCCCCATTTCGGTTTGCATGTTCACTTACGAACCATCACTTCTCTGCAAACTTTCCACTTAGTGTGTCAAAGGTCAATGTTATCAAAGTCCTCTAAAAGGCTCCGTGGTTCTGTGGAGTCTCTGGATGATGACGGCGTTCTGCAAGTCTGCTTCTTCCAGCGTGAGTGCTTCATCTAGCAGCCTGAGGCACGGGAGAGCCGTGGCCAGGGAAAAGGGAGGACTTCTCTGAGATCCTTGGTACTTTTCAATGAAGTCTTTGATGTGGCTTATCCTGTAAAATGGCGCCAACTATTAATACAATTTTATGAAAATTTGAACGAGCCAATTTAAAGCAGTAACGTGTGAAGATATCTGGCTGTGTGAGTACACAGAACACTCAAATTATAATGACAGAGCTGTTCACTGGGGCCATCTTTTGAAGGTGGACCCTTGGGGACAGTAGGAAATTATTACTATTCATCATCTTAGATGTGGCAAGGGTATTATGGTTACATTTTTTTTAACTATGGTTACATTTTTTAAAATATATTTTACTGATTTTTTACAGAGCGGAAGGGAGAGGGATAGAGAGCTAGAAACATCGATGAGAGAGAAACATTGATCAGCTGCCTCCTGCACACCCCTCACTGGGGATGTGCCCGCAACCAAGATACATGCCCTTGACCGGAATCGAACCCGGGACCCTTCAGTCCGCAGGCCGACGCTCTATCCACTGAGCCAAACCAGTCAGGGCTATGGTTACATTTTTAAAGAGTACTTATCTATTGGAGATACATACTGAAGTATTTACATATGAAACTATATGAAGTCTGGGGTTTGCTTAGAAATAGTTCAGTGGAAACTAAATGATAGGTCATTATGTTCTCTTTGCTTTTGTGTGTATCTCTAAGTTTCTATAATAGAAAGTTGACGTATCTACATACCTAGCTCTGAATGGATCAGACAGACAGACAGACCTAGGTTCCTTTAAATACCAGGTCATGCTGTGCTTCAAATCCAATTAGGAAAATCCTTCACTCAGTACAGGGAGAATTTACGATGGAATAATGAACACAAAGTAAAATAATAATTGCAACCTTGAAGGCAGCTCAAAGTTATGTTCACCTACGCACGTGTGTGTATTTAGAGAGGGAGAGCGCATATGCAGTTCATCAAAACTAAGATGCCATTGATTTCAAAACACATCATTTTATGTGTTACTAAAAAAAAAAAAAAAAAAATCCAGATTGTGACAAAGTGTTTTCTTAACACTTAGAATTCTTTTTAATATTTATTGAAAGAGCACTTTTAACTTAATTTCATACAAATCACTCATGTGCTTCCCTAAGTACAATGAAATGGTAGAGTCATTCCTAGTCACACTCGGATCCTGGACATGTTTCTCCACGTAATACCCACCCTCGGAATCACCAGGTGTGTTGGTGACACAGAATTTATTTTAAGAAGTGCTCTGCTACTGTCTCTGGGATGCTTTTAGTTCATCTGATATTTGTGTTGCATGCTTTGAGGACGATACTAAGGCAAAGACAATTGTGACATGTTTGCCATGTGGCCAGCAATGGATGCATCCCTATTTCAGAGGTGCTAAACATAAAAAAATGTGCAACTCAGAGTTAATGAAATATGGCACATCGCGAAAGACAAAATTCTCCCAATCAATTCACTAAAATTCAAAAACGCCACTCTGTTAAACCTGTGCAGGTTTCCAAAAAAGTCTAGGATGTGGTATTTATTTGGATATCAAATATTAGATAACTAATGGCTAAAGCTTATGGCAAACAATATAACTATAAAAAGTAAGAAAAACAGTAAAGATTAAAGGAACTCGCCCTCGCCTGATTGGCTCAGTGGACAGAGCATTGGTCTGCGGATTGAAGGGTCCCAGGTTCGATTTTGGTTAAGGGCACATGCCCAGGTTGTGGGCTTAATCCCCAGTAAGGGGTGTGTAGGAGGCAGCCAATCAATGCTTCTCTCTCATCATTGATGTTTCTATCTCTCTTTCCCACTCCCTTCCTCTCTGAAATCAATAAACATATATATATTTTTTAAAAAGATTAAAGAAACTGTGCAGTAAAAATAACAAATATAGCCCTAGCCAGTGTGGCTCAATGGATGGAGCATCGGCCTGCGGACCGAAGATTCGGTCAAGAGATGTACCCTGGTTGCAGGCTCCTCCCTGGTTGGGGCTCATATAGGAGGCAACCAATCAATGTGTTTCTCTCACATCAATGTTTCTCTCTGTCTTCCCCTTTCTCTTCCACTCTCTCTAAAAGTCAATGGAATTTCTAAAAATCAATGGAAAAATATCCTCGGGTGGGGATTAAAAAACAAAACAAAAAACAAATGTATACTGTGATCTCTATAATCACACTAAGATAATAAAGAAATGCAACTCTTAAGCATAACCAATGGACATAAGACACTGGGGGGTAGGGGAGGCCAGGGGATTGTCAAAGGCGGGGAAAAAAAGAAAAAAAAAGAAAAAGAAATGCAACTCTTGATGGAAGTTAATAGAAGAGATAAAAATTAAAATTAGGAAAAAAATCAGACAAATAATGAAATGAAAGACTCACCTATGAGACATGTTAAATTTCTGAACAATCCTTTTCCCACTGGCTAACCAGATCTGTATATTAGTGATGGGTTCCAGGTTGTTTAGTGGGACAGTAGACAAATTATTTTTCTTCTCAACTTCAATACTTTTTGATTTAGAAATAATTTTTGGTGTGGCACTAAAAAAATCCAGACAACAAAGTCAGATGCATATATATGTCATTCTTTTTTACCAAATGCACACTATTATTCTGTTAAAAAGTAGATCCAATGGTATAAAAATATATTTTCAGCATTCTGAAAATCACATCTGGATATTTTTATATGTATGCATGAATGTGTATACACCTTACCAATCTTGATAATTAATATATGAGAAATGATCAAAATAAAAGTGATCCCACATCTAACCTCTTTGCATATTCTGCTATAAGGCACAGATATAAAGAAGACTGCAGCCCTAGCCGGTTTTGCTCAGGGGATAGAGCGTTGGCCTGTGGACCAAAGGGTCCCGGGTTCGATTCCAGTCAAGGGCACGTACCTTGGTTGCAGGCTCCTCACCAGCCTGGACCCTAGTTGGGGTTCGTGCAGGAGGCAACCAATCGATGTGTTTCTCTAAACACATCGATGTTTCTCTGTCTTTCCCTCTCTCTTCCACTCTCCCTAAAAAAATCAATGGAAAATATCCTCGGGTGAGGATAAAATAAAAAGACTGCAAAATCTGAAAATAATTAAAGGTGTGTGTTTTTTTAATTGATTTCAGAGAAAGGAAGGGAGAGGGAAAGTTAGAAACATCAATGATGAGAGAGAATCGCTGATTGGCTGCCTCTTGCATGCCCCCTACTGGGGATTGAGCCTGCAATTTGGGCATGTGCTCTGACCAGGAATCGAACCCTGAGCTCCTGGTTGATGGGTTGACACTCAACCATTGAGCCACACCAACTGGGCATAATTAAAGGTTTTGATACTATAAACATCTGGAAGAAGATAACACTGCATCTTTTTATATATTTATTACTTGATGTAATAAAGCTTATTTTCTTTTTTAATATTTTTAAAATATATTTTTATTGATTTCAGATAGGAAGGGAGAGGGAGAGAGAGATAGAAACATCAATGATGAGAGAGAATCATTGATTGGCTGCCTCCTGCATGCCCCTTACTGGGGATCGAGCCCGAAACCGGGCATGTGCCCTTGACCAGAATCGAACTCGGGACCCTTCAGTCTGCAGGCCGATGCTCTATCCCTAAGCCAAACCGGCTAGGACATAAAGCTTATTTTCATTAACAACAACAACAACAACAAAAAATAAAGGTTTTAATACTGCTAACTTTATCAGACATTTTTCATTTTTATTACCTCAAAATTCAGATATTGATTACAGTACAATGTTGAAAGCAGTGGTATGGGTAAAATGGAACCCTATATTCAAAAGCTAGTGTTTGCACGCTAACTTTAATGGCAAAGCTCAAGTGGTGAGTGTAAGGGAGAAAAGAAACGACTCATCCATCCAATTTTGCCTAACGTCCTCAATAAGCCATGCCCTTTTGATTTGATGAAACCACACAAGCCTCCAAGATTTTTTTACTGTAGTGCCAGCATATGCTAATTCACACTAAGGTAAATATGACTTAGAGGAGTCCTCACAAAAGCTAACATTAAAAATTTCATTTGCACTAGGTGAAGTGGCTCAGTTGGTTGAGCATCGTCCCGTGCACCGAAAGTTGCTAGTTCGATTCCCATTCAGGGCATATACCTGGGTTGTGGGTTTGATCCCCAATCGGGGAGCATACAGAAGCAATTGATCAATGTTTCTATATTTCTTTCTCACATTGATGTTTCACTTTCTCTCTCTCTCTCTCTCTCTCTCTCTCTCTCTCTCTCTCTCTGCATGTCCTTGGGTGAGGATTAATAAAAAATTCCATGTGCAATGGGAGAAATGATAAGCTCCTTATCTGTGGTCTCCCTGGTAAAACAATGATGGGCTGAATGTTAGTCCAGCCTCTGCTACGATCATGAGCCCACTCACCTTCCCAGTCGGTGACCCTGTCCTGAGAAGGGCTGGAACACAGGCTTCGTTGCCACACACACTTCATGTTTCTTATCTTCAACTTTAACATCCACCTCCTCCTTATCAAATGTTCCCTGTAATTCCAAAGGCAATTCCCTGGGAAGGGAAAGAAACAAAGTGCCCACACTCACCATGTGCATTTTCTTTTACTGAAAAATATACTCTCCATGCAAAAGGAATTGAAAAATATCCTATATGGTAATAAAGGCCTAATATGCTAAGTGTCTGGTCATCTGGTCGACCTTTCAACCAATCAAAGTGTAATATGCAAATGATATGCTAAGGCCGCTCAACTGCTCGCTATGACGTGCACTGACCACCTGATCAAAATTCGAATTCCTCCACTTTCTTCAAAATTATAGCTGTGGCTCTCTTAAGAAAACCCATCCTATGAAAATATGAATTTCTAAAAGTACCTGTGAACGTGTAGGGATGTGTAAACAGCCATTAAAAACCATTCTTCCCAGCCGAAACCGGTTTGGCTCAGTGGATAGAGCGTCGGCCTGCGGACCGAAAGGTCTCAGGTTCGATTCCGGTCAAGGGCATGTACCTGGGTTGCGGGCACATCCCCAGTGGGAGATGTGCAGGAGGCAGCTGATGGATGTTTCTCTCTCATCGATGTTTCTAACTCTCTATCTCTCTCCCTTCCTCTCTGTAAAAAATCAATAAAATATTTAAAAAAAAAAAAAAAACCATTCTTCCAAATGAAACATGCCTAAACTATCCTTCTATTTACAAAGGTTGCTTACCCCTTTTTGATGGAGTTCAGAAACTGCTGACTTGCACCGTCTGAATAACTTCTGAAATCATCATTGACCGTGAATCCATTTTTCCATAATTTTATATTTATATCTACCTGCAAAGCAGTAAGAAACAAATGCATCATGTTAATTAAAAAATATGATACTTCTGTATATTGTAAAATGTCTGATGTGTACTTTGCATTACAATATTAATAAGATGTGCACTGAAGGGTTGGGATTTAATAAAATTTATCACTTTTACTACTTCATTGAGAACATTCTTAATTGAAACTAGCGTTTATTTTCTCCCTGCAAGTGCAAAGAAGACAGTAATTACTAGTACAGTTTGGTGCCACTGCCTTGACTCCTTCTAAGGTGCCAGCTGCTTACTACCCACCATCGATTTTGCAGTATCAGTGCAAGGTCAACACAATGACCAGGTAAATAACATCTCACTATTATTATTAAACAGTTTTGATCTCGTGGACCCTCTAAAACAGTGGTTCTCAACCTGTGGGTCGCGACCCCTTTGGCGGTTGAACGACCCTTTCACAGGGGTCGCCTAAGACCATCCTGCGTATCAGATATTTACATAGCGATTCATAACAGTAGCAACATTACAGTTATGAAGTAGCAACGAAAATAATTTTATGGTTGGGTCACAACAGGAGGAACTGTATTTAAAGGGCCAGAAGGTTGAGAACCACCGCTATAAAAGATCCATATTTGGAGAAACAGTGGAAGAGAAAAAAAGTCATAGGCATTTACCTGTTTCTTCTGTTCAGTGGGAGACAAGCATCTGGCACCAACCTTCTGGGCTTCCTCAAAAAGACTGTCGACAAAATACTCACAAGTTGATTGTCGATTATCACTAAGAGGTTGGTTGTCAGATCCTGTTTCACAAACCCTGTATACACAACAAAGAAAAGTGAGCATTAGTAACTACCAGTTCTCTAAAAATTCACATACATTATTCTAGTTCAGGGATCCTGACCTGAGATGCCACTTCCAAGTCCGCAGTCTAGACCCTCTTCTCAGTTAACAGACATGTGACCTCGGGAAGTCATTAACCCTTTGGGTCCAGAGCAGGGTTTTCTCAAGTTGAGTCTATTGACATTTGGGGAGAGATAATTCTTTGTTGTGCAGGCTGTCCTATGTATTCTAGGGTGTTTAACATCACCTGTGACATTGGCCCATTAGATGTCAGTAGCATGCATACTTTCCCACCCCCAAAGTGTTATGACAACCAAAAACATCTGTGGGGTGGGAGTTGGGGGATAAATTTCACCAGGATGATGCTCTAACCGACTGACCTACCCAGGCAGGGCATTACCTTACCAGCTTTCACATATGCAATACATTATTAGTAACTATAGTCACTAATTAGTAACTATAGTCATTACACCCCTATGACTTATTTATTTTATACCTGGAAATATGTACCTCTTGAACCCCTTCACCCATTTTGCTCACTTCCATATACTGGATTTCATTCTATATTTATATTATATAGGAAATATTACCAAAGATTCATTTGATAGAAAAAATATTCCTGGCAGATCTTTTTAGAATTCATATATTAGATTCATAAATGTTCTGAGATATATCTTCTCAGATTCAGTAAGTAATCAACACTTTTTATAGCTCTTAGACTGTGCCAGGAACTATAGATACCTTTATCCACATTTTATAGATAAGAAAAATGAGTCAGAGAGAGGTTAACTTACATGTCGGAGGTTACACAACTAGTAAGTGGCAGAAACAGAATGTTAGTCTTCCAAGTCTATGCTACTAACCATGATATGCTATAAAGCCTCTCTCTCTCTCTTAAATATATTTCTATTGATTTCAATGATGAGAGAATCATTGATCGACCGTCTCCTGGATGCCCCCTACTGAGGATCGAGCCTGCAACCTGGGCATGTGCCCCTGACTAGAATCGAACCTGGGACCTTTCAGTCCGCAGGCCGACGCTCTATCCACCGAGCCAAACCAGCTAGGGCTCTGTATCTACTCTTAAGACACTCCATATTATCATAAAGTATTAATTATGCCTTTTCCAAGGCAACAATATGATACTTCTTAAAAAATAATCACACCCTAAGATGATTTCTCACAATACTAATGTAGTAAATATTGTGAATGTAGTAAAAATCACTGAATTGAATACTTTAAATGCATAAATCATATGGTATGTGAATTAGGTCTCAATAAAGTGTTAAAAAAAAAAAGTCCCAAGCTAATCTTAGTCTTTTAAATCGTTCAATCATTGTATGTCTGTATAGAAAAGAGTTAACACAGTGGGCCTGACTGCTATCCTTCGAAAGGCCTGCTTGCTTTCCGCTGGAGAGTCTGAAATCTGAGTAGGTGACGAGCCCCCAATAAAAAGCCTAGGCTCATTTCCAATGACCTTTCTTGGTAGATATCATTTCACATGGGCTGTCATGACTTATCACGGGGAGAATTAAGTACGTCCCAGGTGACCCCACAGGCGAGGACTCTTGGAAGCTGTGCCTGGTTTCCCCTGGACTTTGTCTCATGTGCTCTCTCCCCTTTGCTGATTTTGCTTTTTACCCGTCCATTGTAATAAATCATAGTACGATTACAAACCTGGGGGTGGTCTTAGAGACCCCGACACAATCTTAAAATTATATAGTTAGTATCACATATAAATAAAACAGTAAACACTCTAGTCAAAAATAACAAATGTTTGTTTGGTACAGAAGCATTTTCAAAATATTTGTAAGTGTGAAATAAATACTTGTCTGTCTCAAATGAACTACGGATGAAAGACATGTACCTCAAGGATTTAAAACAAAGAGCATCATACAAGATATATTTCACCTCCGTAAATGAGAATAAAGTATTCTATATTAACAGCCATACATTTTGCATTTACCATTTATTGCGTGCCTTCTATATGCTAATACTATGCTAAGTGCTTTATATAAGCTATCTAATTCTCCCCAAAATCTTTCAGGTATAGCCCCAGTTCATATATTTTTGTAAAAATGTATTTTTTATTGTTGACAGTATTACAGATGTCCCCCATTCCTCCCCACTCTGCTTTCCTCCACCCAGCCCCTACCCCACCCCAGGCCTTCACCACACTATTGTCTCTGTCCATGGACTATATAGATGAGATATTGAAGCTCAAATAATCTACCTACATTGCCCACAGGCCAGAGAAGTAGTATCAGAAAGAGATGGATTCAAACCGAGGTTTATCTGACTCCAAAGCCATTATGTTTCCACTGTGATTCTATCACAAGAAGCTAACGAAGCAAAGTTACTGGCATTTCTCACTTATATGACAGAAGTAATATGCAAAGAGAAAATTTTTAAAAAAATATATTTTATGGATTTTTTTACAGAGAGGAAGGGTAAGGGATAGAGTTAGAAACATCGATCAGCTGCCTCCTGCATGCCCCCCACTGGGGATGGAGCCCGCAACCAAGGTACATGCCCTTGACCGGAATCGAACCCAGGACCCTTCAGTCCACAGGCCGATGCTCTATCCACTGAGCCACACTGGCTAGGGCCAAAGAGAAAATTTTAAGTTTTATTTTTCTACCAAAGAAGAATGTGCTTATTTCACTTAAATCCTTAAAAATACTTGTTGGCAATTGTCACATAAATTGTCCTAACAATTTTTTTTTTTTTAATTAGTAACAAGAAGATCTAGTGACTTCACTAAAATCCATTCAATGCAGTGACGGTGGAAAAAAAAAAGGTACTTTAAAATATACTACTATGAGGTATTTAACTGAGATAAGCATAATGAACACTTACAATCACAGTCAGTGAAATGCAGTAAAAATAGAAAAAGACACCAACAAAGGCATTACTAACAAAGAAACTTCACAGATCGAATTAACTTACCATTCTTTTATGCTTTCAAGATTATCTACTTCTTTCATTCTCTTCTGCCTTACTGTAAAGGTAAAAGGAAACAAAAGTTAAAGTTATGAGTTTAGCATTTTAAATAAATTAATTCATAGCATTTTAAATTGCATGCACTCATATTCTCCACATAAGTTATTATGTGTCCCAAAGTAACACTGAAAGGGTCTTAAGAACAAGTGACCAAACTCAAAGCTCTCAGTAGGATACACAGTAACATTATTATGTTTTAAATTACTTGAAACAATTCCTGTGTGATATTGCTACCTACTTGACAGTCAATTCAGTTAATGTGTTTCTTAAGTGTGTAAAATATTTGTATGGTTCCATATAAATACTGTTCCAGAGAAATCCAGCTTCCATCCTTGCCCCCCCACCTTGTCCTCTCTTTCCCAGCTTATGGGTAACCTTACTTTCCCCCTAATATAAACAAATATCTATATTCACGTCCATCTCTTTCTTAGACAGAGTAATAGCACACAAATGAGCTATGTGAAGTCAAACACAGACAATGTAGTTATAAACTGCCTGCCTATTGTAAAATTCAAGTTGTCAGTTATCAAAATTCAAGTTAGGGAAAATGAGGTCTGTTTTATCTAATCTGGAATGTCTGGTTATTTAACTAAAAAAAAAAACACCCACACACAATCAAACTGATTATAGAGAGAAAGATAAAAGAAATCAATGACTTTTTGATGTTTTAAAATTAAGTAAGCTTTAAAAAATACTGGAGTGCAATGCTTTAATAAACCTATATAAGTTAGTTTCAATTCATGCTATGCTTTTAAAAAGTTCATATTAGGGAAAAACTAAATTACAACTTCTATTTATATGTGCTTAAAACAATATAGTTAAGCCTGGCCAGCATGGCTCAGTGGTTGAGCGTTGACCTATGAGCCAGGAGGTCAAGGTTCGATTCCTGGTCAGAGCAGATGCCTGGGTTGCGTGCTCCATCCCCAGGAGTGGGTGTGTGGGAGGGCCGATCAATGATTCTCTCTCATCATTAATGTTTCTATATCTCTCCCTCTCCCTTCCTCTTTGAAATCAATAAAAATACATTTAAAAGAAAAACAACATAGTTAAGAATATGTTATTATTAGGTCATGACAGATTTTTTATGATATCAAGATCCCCAAGACTACACTACAGATTTAAAACTAAAGAAAAACACTTTACCCAAAGAGGAGACATAATCAAGTTAGATTTCTACAATGCATTAAAAATATTTCAACTCTCAAATAGGCTGTGTCAAATAAGAATATGTTCCTTAAATTCTCTCTGGAGAGTACATATACAAAAGGCAAATACAGCACTGCTATTTAAAAATGTAAGTTTTAGCCCTAACTGGTTTGGCTCAGTGGATAGAGCATCGGCCTGCGGACTCAAGGGTCCCAGGTTCGATTCCAGTCAAGGGCATGTACCTTGGTTGCGGGCACATCCCCAGTGGGGGGTATGCAGGAGGCAGCTGATCGGTGTTTCTCTCTCATCGATGTTTCTAACTCTCTATCCCTCTCTCTTCCTCTCTGTAAAAAAATCAATAAAATATATTTTTTAAAAAATGTACGTTTTAAGCGTTGGCCAGGTGGCTTAGTTAGGAGGAGTGTCGTCCCATACACCGAAAGGTTCCTGTGTGTGTCATTCCTTCTCAGGGCACATACCTAGGTTTCGGGTTTGATCCCTGGTCTGGGTGTGTATGGGAGGCAACCGATCAATGTTTCTCTCTCATATTGATGTTTCTCTCTCCTTCTCCCTTCCTCTCTCTAAAAAAAAAAAAATCAATGGAAAATACCCTTGGGTGAGGATTTTTTTATTTTGTTAATCCTCACCTGAGGATATTTTTCCATTGATTTTTAGAGAGAGTGGAAGAGAGGGAAAAACAGAGAGAAACATTGATGTGAGAGAAACACAAAGATTGGTTTGCCTCCTGCACATGCCCTGACCAGGGCCCGGCCCAGGGAGGAGCCTGCAACCAAGGTACGTGCCCTTGACCAGAATCGAACCCAGGACCCTTTGGTCCCAAGGTTGACGCTTTGTTCACTGAGCCAAACAGTCTAGCAGGATTTTTTCTTAAAGTAAGTTTTAAGTATATTTATTTATTAAATAATCCTGACTGGAGGATATTTTTTTCATTGATTTTCAGAGACTGGAAGGGAGGGATGGAGGGGGGAGAAAGAGGGAGGAAAAGAGAAAAAGAGGGAGAAAGGAAGAAAGAGAGAGATTGGTTGCCTCCCACATGCACCCCAACTGCGGCTGGGGATCAAACCTGCAACCCAAGCACATGCCCTTGACCAGGAATCGAACCCGAGACCCTTCGGTGCACGGGCTGAATCTCTAACCACTGAGAAACACAGGCCAGGGCAATTTTAAGTACATTTAAATAGAAAGCAGACATCAGTCATAGCCACTGAGGGCCCACCAGATCCATTCCAAAGCCATGAGAACCAGAAAGAAAATGGGCACTAGAATAATCTACTGGCCCCACTTCAAAGTCTCCAAAGGATCTGGAGGTGAAGCTAATCTGGCAACGGGACCCAGGGGCAGCCTTTCACCAGAGAAAATGAGAGTCTGACTGATCTTGGGTCCTGACGTCCATTCCAGCTCTCCAGTTTGCCTCTGCTAATGGAGCTGGGCCACAACCACAGCCAATTTGGCTGGAGCCCCAATTCCCATGGAGCCTGTTTTGCTAGGAATCAGAGCAGAACAGTGGAGTCTGCTCTGGAAAATAGCCTATCTTGAAAATTGTTTTAAATACCTTTATTGTTTTCATTATGACTTGAATGTAAACTGATAGTGACTGTACTGCTTAGCCTCCTTATGAGAAAATTGTGAGCAATTCTGAAACACGAGGCGAAACTGACAGGGAGAAAGAAGGAGGAAATTCTAAGGGGCAGAGGAGTGAGTAGGAACAAGTGTGAGGCCAGGACCTCAGCAGCATTCCCAGCAATCATTTCAGACTCTAGCTTTTGGCTAGAGGGTAAGGCAGAGTCACTAAAGCCACACTACCCCTTTAAACGGTGGATATGTGACTTGAATAAAAAGTTTTAAAAACCAGAAAACAAATTAAAAATATATTCAGAAAACCAGAACTTCATGCTTACTAATGTTTTCTCCTAAGACTTTGTCCTTCAAATCTCATCATTTCTAAAACTATTTAATTGCTTCCCTTTAAAAATTGCTTCCCTTACAAATATACATAAAATAGAGAAAAATATAAACACCCATCCCTACCATTCAGATTCAGAAAAATTTACATTTTGACTTACTTCTTTTTCTTTATTTATTAAAAAAAATTTTTTTATTGATTTCAGAGAGGAAGGGAGAGAGAGATGGAAACATCAATGATGAGAGAGAATCACTGATCAGTTGCCTCCTGTACACCCCATACTGGGGATGGAGCCCCATTATATGCTCCGGACCTGGGAACCGAACCAAACCTCCTCGTTCATAGGTCAAGGCTCAACCACTGAGCCATGCCAGCTGGGCTCTTTGTGTTTATTTAAGAAATAAAACATTATAGACACAAGTTGAATACTCTTTAATATTTTAAAATATTTAATAGCACTTAATATTTAAATAAAATATTTAAAATAAAAAATATTTAATACTAAAATATTTACTACATGGTATGTCTTTTTTAAAAAATATATTTTTTTATTGATTTCAGAGAGGGGGAGGGAGAGAAAGATAGAAACACCGATGATGAGAAAGAATCATTGATCAGCTACCTTCCTGCATTCCATTTTTGCACTTGACAGTTTTCCAACATTATTTTCAACTACTCTAAAATAATCCCTTAGTGTAGATCTGATCCTTATTGTAGCATAAACATAACATAGTCATTCCACTTCTTGGCCCACACTGTAACAATCCTTTAGGCATTGAAATCCTAATTATCCTTCCAAGCCCCAACCCAAGATCCACTTCTACCATAAAGGTGAAATAATAAACCCAGTTAACACTCTTCTCCTAAAACATTTAGATCTGGGGCATTTAAATCATATTGGTCTGATCTTGTTTACTATTGTTTCTGTTCTGTCTTTTAATCTCTCTACTGGATCCAAGATCCTTGAGGTCCGGTATCATGAGTTGCACATTTCCTGTTTCTTCCACAGCGCACAGCAAGTGCGAAGCAGAGAGTTACCACCCTGAAAGTGTCGTCCTCTAGCAAATTACTACTACTAGTAACCATTTCATAGTTATAGGCCACTGATAAAGTCTTTTGCTTGTTTTGTGACAGCCGAAGAGAATGAAGAGTGCTTGGTTTCGAACGGACTTGTACTAGAATACTGGCTACATAATTTTTAAACCATGTAACATTTATTTGTATCCACTGAGTTAGCTGCCGCAATGATCACAGTCAGATAACGCGAGTGAACCTAATGCATGTTCTGTACAGTAGAGAATAAAAAAGCCATCTGGCAAGTTCCGAAGTTTCCAGCATGAAGGGGCCTCAGAATGGACAGATGAACCATTTCTTCATCTTGCTTCAGCTTACTTCTAATTAGTACCACTACCATCTTACATTTGTACTGTATATCACAGTTTACCAAACACCTTCCCAAATATTATCCCACTTAACTCCCAACAACTGCAGTGATAAAATCAGTCAGGAGACAGAGTACACTGAGCTTTTTGGAACATATCCACCAAAAAGAAAATCTAGTCAAAACAGAGTTAGTGCTCTGACCAGTGTGGCTCAGTTGGTTGGAGCGTTGTCCTGTACACCAAAAGGTTGTGGGTTTGATTCCCCGTCAGGGCACATACCTAGGTTTCAGGCTCGATCCCTGGTTAAGGTGCCTAGGGGAGGCAACCGATCAGTGTTTCTCTCTCTCACTGATGTTTCTCTCTCTTTCCCTTCCCCTCTCTCTAAAATCAATAAACATATCCTCGGGTGAGGATTAAATCAAAAATAAAAAGATTTAGTCTTTTCAATGTATACATTAGACTTCGAATAGAAAACATTTGCGTATTACCAATTTTATTTATTTTTATAAACAGGTGCCCTGGCTGGTGTGGTTCAGCAGTTAGGCCCTCGCACTGAAGGTCCTCAGGTTTGAGTCCTGGTCAGCTGCATGCGGGAGGCAACCAGTTGATGTGTCTCTTTCAGAAGATCAATGTTTCTCTCTCTCTCCTCTGTCTTTCCCCCTTCTTCCCTCCTTCCTTTCCATTCTCTCAGAAAAGCAATGAAAAAAAATATATATCCTTGGGTGAGAATTAACAACAACAACAAAGCAAACACACACACAACAAAAATCAAACCAGGTAAGTAATACAGGCTATATTTTCGAAAGATAAATATTTGTATCATGATATTATACCATTGGGTATGCTATCTTTATGTAAGAGCTGAAGCTTCTCCTTAAGGATAAAGCCATTCCTGGAATTAAACACAAGGGAAAAGAAACCCATGGATCACCCTAGCCGGCTGGGCTCAGTGGATAGAGCGTCAGCCTGTGGACTGAAGGGTCCCAGGTTCGATTCCAGCCAGGGGCACATGCCCAGGTTTCGGGCTCGATCCCCCCCAGTGGGGGACACGCAGGAGGCAGCCAATCAATGATTCATGGATGGATGTTTCTATCTCTCTAGCTCTCTCCCTTCCTCTCTGAAATCAATAAAAATATATTAAAAAAAAAAAAAAGAAACCCATGGATCACATTTCCATGTGGAGTTCCTTCACTTCGTTCTTCTGTGGAATGGAATGACAATTAGGCCTATGAGCGCAAATTATGGTAGCATCAGAATCAGCCACTTTAAGACAGTCTATTTTATGAATTCTAGTTTACTATTAAATAATAAAAAATGAAACCTTTTGGAAAGTTTCCACTTAACTGCCTGTAATCTGTGCAAAAAAAGAAAGTACATTTGTGTCTTCTAGAAAGAATTGTTAATGCATGAGGTATATGCTCCTAAGGACGGAAGTGATAGTGACAAAGGTAATTTGGATGAGAAAATCCTGAGGGAAAGGTGGTCAGGGTCACCTTGTCAGCCATCCTTTGACACCTAGGCATTCTCATTCCAGGGTTCCTGAAATGTTATCTACCTTGCAGAACCCATCTCAAATACAATCTCCTTTAGAAAATCTGCAATGATTTCTCCAAAAGGCATGAATATAGATTTACTAACACGGCAAAGAGAGACAAGTGGGTAACTGAGAATCTGCCTTCTCTTCACAGCCACAACCGTCCTCTCTAGCTGGTTTCCTCACATCCGCTCATGTCCCCATCCAATCTGATTTTGACACAAATGTCAGGGTGACCTTTCTAAGATACAAATTTAATTGTGGGACATCCCTCCTTAAAACCCTTCAAAGACCTCCCATTGCTCTTTGAATACGGTCCAAATCCTCTGAATAACATTGCAGGGGAGTTCACTGTATTGTTCTCTCACTACATTTGAGTGCTTTGAAAAGTTCTCCATAAAAGTTTTTTTAAAAAGAAAAAAAAATTGGTTGCCAATCCTTAACATTGCTTAAGCAGCCCCACGTGATCTCTCTGGCCCTAACCACATCCCCCTTGCTTTCTACATTCAATCCAACTGCTTCGACCTTCCAGTTCCCCACCTCTTCCCAAGCCTCATTGGAAGCTATTTCCTATGTCTGGACCCTTTCTTCTCTCCTTTGGGAGTCACCGTCACCTGTTCCTACTTACCCATACCTCAGCTTGAGGATGACTTTCTCAGGAAAACCTTAACTACTTTTCCTGGCTGAGATAAGTGCCCCCGCAACCCCTTCCTTGCTCTCACAACAGCCTACATTCTTCCTTTTTTTAGCCTCTAAGTTTGCTGGCATTTACTTGTGTGATGATTTGCTTAAATATCACACAATGACAATGTTTCCCAAATGAGAGTGTAAAGTCCTTAAAGGCAAAATCTATAATGGTTGCCATCATATTGTTAACTGGGAATGGCACGGATGTAACCTGTGAGGTTAGACTTCCGGGTTCTTGAGTTTGGCTGAGAAAGAATCTAGAATGTCAGCACAGGTAACAGAAGTGAGCCAGCTGG